GAGTTACCTTTATAAAATGTAAACTTCCAGGACTGGAACCTTTGAGAGTTTCTGAAAGTTTCTAATTTAAGGTTGTTATTCACTGAAAATGTGAGTTGATAAAGACACAGCTCGGGGCATTGCCTTACTTGGAGTTTACTTTTTTGAATGCTTTAAGGTAGGGGCTTTGTGTGGATAGTTTTTTTTTTTGTCAGCATGAGTAGTGCAGTTCAGGGGCTTTCCTTGGGTGTAACTTAGAAAATTATATTGAGACCAAAAAATAGTTTCAATAGAGGGAACAAAACACAGGGCCAACTTTATATTATAACTATTGCAACAAAAAGCCTATATCCAAATGATTATTTGAAGTTTGACTGATATGTATAGGATATGTATAGAGATAATAAATCCACAGGTGAGTGCACAACAAGAAACAAGAAATTAACATGTTGCCTCTGTGTAACTATCTATTTTGTAAGGCTAAAGCCAACATTGCTTAAAGTCAGAAAGCCCTCAGTTTTTCTTCACATTAAGGAGATAACAAATGAAAGGCTGTATTCTCTGCATTTTTGGTAGACAGCTTGTTCCTCTCCACATCAGCAATATTTCCTGCTGTTCTAAAAAATCACTCGCTTTCAACACTTGTGCACGGTGCACAAAGGTAGGCCTGTACTGCTTGCACGAGAGCTTTCATTGTCCTGCCAAAAAGCAAGCGGCTTTGCGCTTCGGGTGACAACTGGCTCTGATAGGTAGAGGTTCATTTGTGCTGATGTCACCATGTTCCCCATCTTCATCTCATAATTCAGCGCAATTTCCCTGCTGTTATTCACTCAGACGCGATACAGCTGGACACATACGCATAGCATGACACACATAAACAAACAGGAATGTGAACTAAGTGTGTGGGATTTCATTTTTTCACCTCAGATCACAGAACTGTAGCAATGCTATACAGGAGCTCAGATTCAAAGTCACGGAACCTCTTTTGGATCGCTTCCAACAGTGTGGCTTCTCGACGTTGTCACACTGTGGTCAGTCTTTCTGGTTTTCTCAAGTAAACGAGTTAAAGCTCTGATGGGTGGTATAACATTTGCAGCCAGTGCGGTAGATGAGCTGATCTGTTGGATGAGTTCTTCATAGAACCCTTAACAAGAATTTAAAGTCCTTGTTAATAAACAGTGCAGTTAGGTTCAGCATGGACACTTGATGTAGTTCTTCATCAAGTTGGCAATGCTTTTATACACACTCTGATACAACAAGGGGACAAGTAAAAACAAAATCAAACTGGGACATTTTTCGCTTCATTTTTATTAACTTTATCTGCCAAGGAAGACATTTTCTTCTGGGATATATAATGCACATATTCAACGTAATATTTGATAAGTCAAAGTATCTGTTTACGCCAGGCTATAAATATAATTAATTAAATAATAATTTGCAACCTGGCATGTATTTGTTTGTTTATTTGGTCTGCACACCCACCAGACCAACCATAGATACTTTGTGCTGTCTGTTTAGCCAGACAACAGCAAGCTGATAGTTCCAAGAAAGTCATCTTTGTTATCCAGTGGCCAAAAACCTTAGATCCACAGCACTGCAACAACAGCAGATGGCTAACAAACTGAATGGCTGGTTGTCCTATTGACTTGCACTAATAGGAAGACACACATCATATAACCAATTCCTCATGTCAGGTGACAATAAATCAGGGATTAATATAACTCAAACATGCAGCCCAGGGAACAGAGATGGACTAGAGCAAAAAGCATGTCAAAGAATTAGCAGTCTTGGTGAGGGTAAAGAGGCTGAACACACACATGCGCACAGAGACTGCTTTGTAGTCATAAGCGCTTGTTGAGAAAAAACAGGCATGGGATGTAGAGAGAGGATATTATTTAAGCTTTGTAGTGTAAAAAAGGAAAAAGGTTCTCTATTCAGTCACAATGATTGACATTCTTTAATGGGTTTCATGTTATAAGATGCTCTTTCCTACTTTCCTTTGCCTCTTTTTTTCTGCTCAAATAAAAAAAAACGTACATTCATGAGAAACCTCCCTCAATGAGCATTACTTTCACGAATTAATGGCACTTCTGTTCCCTTGTTTGTGATTAGAGGGCAGTGCCTCCCTCTGTGTAATGTGACAGGCGTGACTGTTGAAATGTCAACCGCATCGCAGCGGTTCACACATAGACTTGAGAGATGGGAAGAGATTCACAGAAATTAGATGAGGATTACAGCTGTGAGGGAAAATAAACAGGTGGGGGGCATTAAGGATCATGCATGCAGAGGGAATCTGAGGAAAAATAGGGCAGAGGTGTAGTGTCAGGTAGGGATTTAAAAAAGGCGGTGACAGGAATTTGAGAGGTTTCCTGACCCAGTGGTCCAAGGGCGGTATGGGCTCTAGGATAACAGGGGTTGACAAAAGCATAAGAAAAAGCAAAAGGATGTAGAAATGGAAATAAGTGAAAGGTTTGGATGGATGGAACACTCTGTAATCCATATGCAAATTAAATAAATGAATTCATGTCATGGCATAAGCACTGATTATGTGACCGGACACAGTGTTAAAGACAGATATGAAGTCTATATAAACCTATGGGTCCCGATAGGCCCCTGCTTCAAATGTGTAACACAAAACAAATTCATAGGTTCAAGGAGAGCAGGAGATGTGCATTCAGATCACCAATCAAATGTTTCTTAAAAAATGTGATACTTGTTGCTGGATTACCTGAGGAAATCAAAGCAACAGTAAGATTAACAAAATGTATTTGTTTATTTTACAAGAATAATAACTAAATCTAAAAATCTAATTTAAAATCTACAACTACAGAATTAAATAAACACTAATATTTGAGGGCAACAATAACTAGACAGGGTACTTATCGCAAGGAGATTCTATCGCAGACCCAACTAGATGCAACTTACACTAACTTACACTTCAACTTACACTGCAAGGAAAAAGACAATCAAGTGACCACCACCTTCAGGGTTCCACGTCTCGCTGCCTATAAGTGAAATAAAACAAAGCCAATTGCGAATTTCAGTTTACACAAAAAGGTTACTTATTCATGGGATCCAAATAGGAGCAGGTACGCAGTAACTTATACAACAATATACAACATGGACACTGTGCAAAACAATATGGCCGAGTCCAGTTTAACAAAATATTTCAGCCCAATGATATGGATGAAATGGTACAGGCAAAGCAGCAGTCTGGCACTCGTCTATAGTGAGGAAAAACATGGTAAACATTATTTATATACACTAAATAAAATACCTCAGAGTGAAGAACCCTCCTTCACTACCATACCAGTTAAAATGGCTTTACTCAATCTTAGGCCCTCATTAAAGGAGACAAGTGGAAGGTCAGCAGGCTGACTTCTCTGGCTCAAACACGAGGAGACAAAGGCTGAATTTCGTTAAGAAATAAATTATATTATTAGTGATAGACCTTCAATTGATCACACAAAGGCAGTTATTTGCAGCCTCTTCAACATGAAGCTACAGAGCATATCAGTCAGGATTAATCAGGACACAGCTTCACTACACCTGAATGCATAACAGAAACTTCATTAGATATCTGCCCAAGCATTCCCACCGCACATTTCCCGGGATTCAAGCAAAGAGGCACTATTTGCCTTCACCTGCAGTTATAAAGGCTGGGAGCTCTGCAACCTACCTGTAGAGGGCAGTGCTCTCACCTCACATATCAGCCCTTTCACTGAGGTGATAAAGCTGGAAAGTTTTCTGATAGTTAAGTTTGGATAGCCAGTACTTTTATACAGAAATGTTCAGAGAGTCACCTTGTGCACACAGGGCCAGCTGTGGGTCAGTGGTAGAGGTGGTCGTTTCTCAACCGGAAGGTTTGGGGTTCAATCCCCAGCTTGTGTTATGCAGCAGACAGAGAGTGTATCATCTGTAGTCGCCTAACTTACTATAACAGGGCTTTTGACTTATTTAACTTATTATTACTTTACTTATTGATATCATGTTTGTTCCAAACAGTTCCAATGTAGGTCTGAGGGGAAATTAGGAAGTTGATAAATTGGCAAAAAAGCATTAGCCTACATAAAGACAGCACAAGTCCCATTAAGCAAATCAGAAATCAAAGCATCATTTTGGAATAGAGGAATGGAGGAATGGCAAGGGAAATGGGATACTAAATCAAGGGGTTGATCTCTACACAGATTAAACATTTCATTTTAGACAACAATTACAACAAGTGCTAGGTCAAGGAAAACTAAGTAGCCTAATTTGAAACCGGGTAAGGCGAGATCACTCCAGCTTAAACAGTAGGCCATAGCCTACACTCAAAATAATTGGGGAGCATCCAAATGGTTTAGGTCAGGGGTCTCCAACAGGTAGCTCGGGAGCTACTGGTAGCTCGTGGGCAGGTTTTCAGTAGCTCACCTATTAGGTTGACCGACTGTGTTAAGAATAAAAATAAAAATCTGACGACGGTAAATGCGCCTCTTCCCACTATTCATATATTTGGCCCATAAAAACAAGAATGAAGTACTAATGTTTTCTTGGACATTGATGTGAATTTAAGATTATTGATAAGCATTGGCTTATTGCAATTTCACACATGTACAAACAGTAGCTTAATTCAGCTGATGTGAGCTATGTAAATAAAGTAGCCCTTGGCCACTTTCATTTTTTGAAAGTAGCTCAGATAAATAAAGAAAAGGTTGGAGACCCCTGGTTTAGGTGAACACTGTAACAGGAGACTGTAACACCATCATAGAATACAATTTACCAACAAGACAGAACATGAAAGAGGAACTGAGGAAGACTGGAGTTCAGGAAAATCCCTACAGAATATTTAGGGTAAAAGAAAAGTTGTCTTTAATTAATTACACAGACTACAAGTGGATTTTAATGTCTGGTCCACACTCCGGAGCGGAGGTGGAGGTAATGCACCGTTGTTTAAAAAAAAACAAAAAAAAACAAGAAGAAGAAGAAGAAGAAGAAGAGTAATTTGTGAGGCTGTTGCGTCCCCAAGTGGCACTAACTCGGTATTATAGTTTGTCATTTCCGTCATTGGCAGACATATTGCTTACAGGAGCAAATTCTGGAAAGCAACACAAAAAAAAAAAAGAGAGAGAAAGGATTTAAAATTAACTTGAAACATCACTACTCGATAAACTCAAACCACGCAGGACACAATGGGTAAGATGTTCGATAATATATGTAACAAATGTGAATCCAGGCTTTGACTAGTTCGTGTGGGACAGTCAGAAGTAATGATGATGAAATCCTGATGAAGTGCTTAGCTAACGTTAGCTGGGTGGGTTGTTAATGTTACGCAGGGGGGGGGGGGTGAGTTCAAATTCCCTTTCTTTATGTCAATCCGACGCCAAACTTGTCAGTATTGGGACGCTGTTTCGTGTATTTTCAGATGTAAAGCAAGTTGTGCTAACACAGTACAACCCGTGAAAACTACCAGTGTCATCTGTTAGCCAACTTCAGGAAACTCGGCTAATAGCTTACCACATTATGTCTGAGCTCATGTGGTAAGACACACACGTCTGTCTTTTTAATCCAAAAACTAGTCACCCTTAGGTCAAGATATTGGTTTGATGGGTGGCATTTGTAACCCTCAAGTCTGGGTGATTTACCGTGTTCCTTTACAAAAACATCATGTTTACACCGTCATGTGTTTATGGTACTCTGGGGCTATTTAGCTTCAATTGAGATTTCAAACTAACTAGTACTAACTTTGACTTTAAGGTTTCCTCTGACCCATAACCATTGTAAGTCACCACCTATAAGATTGGTCATTTTCACTTCATATGGACTCTGATGTGTTCAACCTCGTTCTTCAAACCCCAAAATAATAATAAAACATTGTAATTGATCGTTTTGAAACACTATATATTTTCTTTTTTCTTTTCAATTACATGGAAGTCATCGAATTAGAAAATACAAAGTCCTTGGAATACATTTTCTATTGCTTGTTCACAAATGTAAACATGGTGTTGGCGTAACTAACAGAAAAAAAACAAATAAATGTGAATTTCCACATGTTTGAAGACTAATCCCGTTAGAGTTAGTTCAGCCAAATCACAGTTTCTTCCATTTCACTATTGTTGTAAAGCCAACTTCAGTCAGTGACATATTGTGGTGGCTATATTGTAGATGTATGTTTTTGTTTCTGATTTAAACTTGAACATCTCCTCATGAGTAGGGTTGCCACCTTCCAAGCAGAAACATAAAGGACAACTCAGCAGGGGCCTGACCACCACTGACCCAACGGTGGGGCGGGGCACCAGTTGTGGTGAATCATGATTTAAAACGTGGTTTTAATGAAGTAATAAGAGTCATACTTAATGTTTTAAGTGCTTTATTAACACTTTTTTTTTTCTGAAATAATTTACAAAAGTAAAACTTCAGTGTAAAGGCAGATACAGTAATTTATGCACAGTGAAATGCACCTAACAGGACTTCAGCAGATGCTTACTACTAGCTAGAACTATTTAATTACAATTTAACTTAAACTTCAAATAAAGTTAGTAACTTAACATTAATTCATTTACAGAGTATTATTGAAGTGCTTTTGACACTGCTCTAACATAGAGGGGAGCAGTAAGATGACAGATTTTTAATTAAATAAACAGTACTAATTTAATAGTATTTTTATTTATTTATTATGTCCTTCATCGTTTTTGTTGTTTTCGATGGAAATCATGAATGATACTATTAATATGGTTTTGAACTATTTTTTTCTTATTGTATTAATGAAGTGTCTACTGTCGATATATTGATGTTGTATTGATGATATCTCGCCCAGGCCATAGTGTGAATACAGATTTAGCTAAAATAAAGTTCATCTTTTTGTTTTATGTACTGAAAAATGTTCACACTATCCATACTATACTGGAATAACCTATCTATAAACATCGGAGAAAATATATTAAGTAGGGTTACAATAGTTTCCTTTACATTATATTAATTTTCACTGACACTGTCAAGCCAGGCATTATTTTCGACTCACGTCTGTATTTCTGCATCCGTTTACGTTTCAATGGTGCACGGTGCGGGTGTCAGAAACAGCTGCAGACATGTTTCCTTCTGACTCCACTGACTTTCTCTCACCCAATCGGACGCTCTGAGGAGGCGGGAACTAGCCGGCTGAATCGGGCTGAATGATGCTGAGTTCAAGGCATCTTGGAAATACGGGACAAACCGCGTCCCGTATTGATTCAAAACTGGACGCAATATCAAAGTGTAAAATACGGGACGATTCCGTATTTTACGGGTGGCAACCCTACTCAAGAGAGTCCTTGCTGTAGGCAAATAGGGTCTCCTCTGAGATACCAATGAAAACATCTCAGCGGAGCAAACCATCCAGCCTAAACAGCGAATAGTGAAGTTTGCAAACTGCAGCTAATCTTACTAACTCGGCACCAAAATGAGAGCATCCAGGCGTATCTTCTGCCGGGGCTTCACCATCTGGACACATTACAAATGCATAGGCTTTTTATAAGTGGTTGTGCTATTGCTCTCAGACCATAACATGCCCTTAATTTCTGCCACTTGTTCTGATTATTAACCTAGGAGCCCCCTGCGGTCATAGGGGGCTGTTGGCACATAAGGTTGGCACTGTCTTGCACTGGTGACAGGTTAAAGTGTTGTCCTTAGTTCTCGTTCTCTCCACCTATGAGCCAAGGAATACTAAATTCTACCTACTTGAATTGTGTGAGGTTTACATTTCTTTCCTACCTCTCTTCTTAACCATGTATTTTACCTTTATCTGTGGCCCAAAAGAGCCGTCTGCCAGTCCGGCCAAAGATAGCTACAGGATGAACCGATATAAGAACAAAGCACTTAACCCAGAGGAGATGAGACGCAGGAGAGAGGAGGAAGGCATTCAACTCAGGAAACAGAAACGAGAGCAGCAGGTATTATCATGAACTTGTCCATCCCATTCGGCAGATCTTTAAACGCTTAATTGAAAGCATGCAGTCTTTGTATACTTGTTCTAAGTGGGCTCTGACAATATCATAATTACAGCTTTTCAAGCGGAGGAATGTCGACATTGTCAATGAAGAGGAGGCCATGTTTGAGAGTCCTCTGGTGGACTCCTACCTCAGCTCCCCGGTCACAGTGAGTGTCTGATTTCCTGCAACCACACGCAAACCATAATCAAAGCCATTTTCACATATGCACTCCTGTAAATATCTAGATTATTTCAGGAGGACTGCTCCAGATATTCTCCTGACCTGGCTGTTCACATATTAACCACGCAGCAGGAAACAATCCCTGTCAGATGGTGGTGGGGGGGGGGGGTGGGTGGGTCTGCTGAGGTAACGTTTTCATAAAAAAGATGCAGACAAAGCAACAGAGTCCGCTATACGATGCTATAATGGAAATATTTGCCTTTATAGCAATGCTATGTGTAAGTCAACAAAATCACACTATAAACTAAAGAGCAGAGAACAACTTACTGACTAACATAAAACATTATTTAGTTACGTGCATGGAGACCGTAGCGGTGGCATGCAGACACTCTATGCGCCATGCAGCAGTCACAGGATATGAAACACCACTTCCCCCTCCTATTGGCTCGAGGGGAATTCTCCGGAGAATATCCTGCTGCTTTCTCACATCAGCTCACTCGGACTTGCTGTGGAAAAAATACTAGGGGTCTGGTAGGAGAAAGTCTGGGTGAAGTCCAAACAAAACTGTGGCTCTTTGTGTTAACACATGCAGCTCCTCCTGCCAATATCAGGAGATTTTTAGGAGTTTTCTGCAAGTGTGAAAGCCCTACAAGAGAGGCTTACAAAGGAAAAAAACAGAGGTTTATTTTAAACTTGTGGTAGTAATTGTTGTCAAGGGTCTTTTTCAGCCTGCAGGTTTGGAATTGTCTGTTCAGCCCAGAGTGCTTTAAGTCTTGTTTAATGTTTGTGTTTTTGCAGGAAGGAGTCATTACCAGAGACATGGTTGAGATGCTTTTCTCAGAGGACCCTGAGCTTCAGCTTTCCACAACACAGAAATTTCGAAAACTACTTTCTAAAGGTATACTCGTATACTTGTGTTCTTGTAGTGACGAAACTGTGGCACCTATCATGACCACACTTCGTACCAGATATAAATACTTAAATCTAGTATATCCCTATTGATTTTAGAGCCCAACCCACCCATTGATGAAGTCATAAACACACCTGGAGTTGTGGAGAGGTTTGTGGAATTTTTAAAGAAGAGTATCAACTGCACACTACAGGTCAGTTTGTAAGGACACTCGCTTTTGTTTGTGCATTGAATGTACATTGCTTTACATTTAATTTTCAAACCTTCAATCCCAATCAAAGTATGTTAATTATTAAATCTCACCAAAAAGTTCTCTTATATACAGCAGGTAATATTTCTCTTTAGTTCACTTTCATTGGCCACTAGTTTTATTAAACAATATCATGTGTTTTACATTCAGCATACAACTAGTAGTACAGACTGTCCAGTTTTATTGCTGCAAGTCACGAGACACACTGTCTGATGATGAGTAAAACAGCATTTCTGTGTTTAACAAGTTTTGGATTTGCAACATTGTTGATGTTTTGTCAAAGCAGTGAGGTGTATCTCTAAACTGTAATGCCTAAATAACTATCTCATGTGAAATTAATTTCAATGTGAATTATTATTATTAAAGTAGGGCTGTCAGCGTTAATGTGTTACTCACAATGCAATTAAGGTTGGAAATATGCGCATTCATCTTTTGTGGTGGCATTAATCACATACCATTTGGTCCCTTTCAGCACATGAAAAGTAATGTAGCTAAGCCATGCAGCGTCTTCTTGCTCCCACAGTGATGGAAATGGTCGACACAGCAGCCTCTTTGAATGGTTCATTTCACTAAAAAAAGAAAACTTTAAGAGCGCTCAGTTGACAAGGCAAAAGTAATATGTACCTTGTGACATCGAACATTTCCCCTTTTAACGTTCCCTTTAGCTATTTTCAATTGCTTGAAAATCTCTAGCAAGCTCCTTTTTCAGAAGTCAAATTCATGCTGTAACTTACAATGTACCGGAAGTTTTCTCTCAGAATAAAACCGGGTTTGTATCCAAACGGCAAGTAAAGTATCCTTAGTGACAAAACAAAATACTAAAAAAAAAAAGGCATAAAAATAATAATAATGGGATTTCAAACATGGGATTTGACTATTGAAATGTGCCAATAAATAGCTTTTAAAAAATATTATCATTTGACAGCCCTAGTTTAAAGATTTTCCCCATATCAACAATAGCATTTCAAGACTCTGTTTTTAAAAAGATTAAAACAAATTTTTTTTATGCCCCTGTAGTTTGAAGCAGCTTGGGCACTGACCAACATAGCATCAGGCACATCCATGCAAACAAAGACAGTGATTGAAGCTGGAGCAGTGCCAATCTTTATAGAACTACTGAACTCTGACTTTGAGGATGTTCAAGAACAGGTAACGACACAGTGTTTTTTTTTATATCATCTATTGAGTACATCGGGATACTTGATATTTTTTTTTTTGTCTGCCTTTGTTCATGGTTTTGTATTAAAGGTCAATAGTTAACAAAGGTTTTGTGATATTTTTCATGCAGGCTGTTTGGGCCTTGGGTAATATTGCAGGGGACAGTGCAGTTTGCAGGGACTACGTGCTCAACTGCAACATCCTTCCACCACTATTATCGTAAGGCCTTTTTTTTTTTTTTATTGCCTCTGAAGAGGAAATTCTGATTTAGACCCGTAGCGTTCTATTATAAAAATGTTTGCACTATCATCTGTATTGAGTTTTGCTTTTCTTTGTCATTTCAGGCTTCTGACCAAATCCACTAGATTGACTATGACTAGAAATGCGGTGTGGGCTCTGTCTAATCTCTGCAGAGGAAAAAACCCTCCACCTGCTTTTGAAAAGGTATCATTTCCTTTTTTTGAACACTTTTGATTTCACATCACACATACTACTTGTGTATATTTAGCTATCGACAAGCTTGCAAAGTGTTCTTTTTATTTAGCACCCCTTTAAGAAAAAAGTGCACTGCCTCTGTGTCCGATCAGCCTTAAAGCTGTGCTTACTGAAGTTGTTTCCTCCTCTCTAGAGCCTTGTATGTGTTGTAGTTACCGGTACTTCTTGATCTACGTTGCTTTGGACAAAGGCGTCTGCTAAATAAATTGTAGAAATGCTGATTTAGGTGAATAGTCAGTAGAACTCCCCCACCCCCATGCTTTTTCACATCAGTTATGTCCATGTCTTCTAGGTGTCACCCTGTCTGCCAGTGCTGTCCAGGCTTTTATTTAGCAGTGACCCAGACTTGCTGGCAGATGCCTGCTGGGCGCTGTCCTACCTCTCAGATGGCCCCAATGACAAAATCCAAGCTGTAATTGACTCTGGTGTCTGTAGGCGCCTAGTAGAACTACTAATGTAAGTCCTACATTACTTTATTCATTCTTAGTCACAAATAATATAGCTCGTGAGTTTTTTAAAATAATATCTCAATTAAATCTCACATTTTGCAGGCACACCGACTATAAGGTGGCTTCCCCTGCCTTGAGAGCTGTTGGAAACATTGTCACTGGAGATGACATCCAAACACAAGTAAGTATAGATTACATGTGATGTAAAGCTGTAAATTTCAGTTAATATCAGTTTTGCCAACGCCTGTGAACAAAGCTGTAACCCTCTTTGCTGATCTTGTCTTGTACGTGTGGGAGTTGTTTATTTTTGTTGTTGTTGTTTTTACAGAAAATCTCATCCTGTTTATCTAAATGACCAAAAGCTACACATGAAGCCACTATATATTTCTTTAGCCTTGTCAGATGACTTCAGAGATTGTCAACTTTAATGAAGTTTGGATGAATGTTAAAATAATGTTGTTTTTTTTTTGCTGACATGGGGCACTTTTTACCCTCACCACTTGACTTCATCCCTTTTGCCTAATATAGGTGGTGTTGAATTGCTCAGCTTTGCCATGTTTGCTGCACCTTCTCAGCAGTGCTAAAGAGTCCATCCGCAAAGAGGCATGTTGGACCATCTCAAACATTACAGCAGGAAACCGAGCACAAATACAGGTGATTAATACACTTCATACACTTCTTTATAACTTTAGGGCAACCGACAACCTTCATAATTGGGTTTTGTGCGTGTGTGCGTGCGTTTTTCTATAAAGCAGGTCACACCTACCCATTCACACACTGTTGGCAGAGGGTTCTATGTAAAGTAACCATCAGAAGTAAATAATCCCATCAAGCGCATCATGTTGCTTGAAACAAAACCAAGACCTGCCAGTTTTCCCGTTTTTTTTAATTAGTTATTTGCAATTGAAGTTTCTCTGGTAGCCACTGTGCATGCATAGCCTGTGCGTAGCTTCTAAAATGTAAAGCTGTTAAGACAGTAGTCATTGAGGTTTCATTTTATTTAGAAGTTACAATTATTGGGCTGGCCATGCACACTTAAAATAACTTTGAACATCCTTAGAAGTGGTTGATGACATATATGTACGGTAATACACATGTGAGCTACATGTTGCTCAACCTTCTCTCTCTACCTGCTGTCTCTACTTCTTCATGTGAGTGTCATATCCAAGTCTGTTTTTTTTAAATTTGCGCTTTTAAAGATATAAAAAAATTTGAGCCACTTTGCATTTATTGGATAAGACAGCTGAAGAGAGACAGGAATTGTTGGGAGAGGAGATGACATGCAGCAGAGATGAAAAGGGCCAAGGTTGGATTCTAACCCATGGCTGCAGCGACAAGGACTACTCCATGCATACATATCCTCCAGGCTATCTTGGGCCCTAACATTCCTCACATCTATATATATACTAAAGAGCACAGTTTGGCTTTGTAGGGACTGATGTTTCCTTCTATCCATATATCTTAACATAAGGGGCCCATGAGGGGTATGATGAATAGTTTGGGGATTTTTTAAAGTCGGCCATAAATGTGTTGAAGATGTTTTTCAGATATGCCCCTGAATTTCAATGTTATCCTTCCAACAGACAGTAATCGATGCAACATCTTTCCAGTGCTGATCGACATTCTACAGAAAGCAGAGTTCAGAACCAGGAAAGAGGCAGCCTGGGCTATCACTAATGCCACCTCTGGAGGAACACCAGAACAGATAAGGTCAGAATTACAGGAAATCAACAAAAGTACCACCTCAGCTATAAATCAATGGATCTGGATTAAATTGCCCCATATTCATAATCCCTCAAGTTCCAGTATGTTTTTTTTTTTTGTGCATCAAATAAAATACTAAATGTTTAATGTTTTTTCATCCTTTGTCAATCACATCCCTGATATAGTTCCTGTTTGGCTTTTATGTGAGGATTACGAGTTAGGGTTTAATGCTCTGGAGTTTTATAGGCGTTAAAGAAGGAAACAGAATTCTCTCATAATCTTTTTACATTTAAACCACTCAGTTCAAAAAGTCACTGTGTTAAACATGAGGAATCTTTTAATGTCATGACTTAATTTCTTTTTTTTTTGTACCAAATGATGGAGAGTAGTATTGAAAAGTATCAGTATCTATAAGCACTATCAGTATCAATACAGATATCTATAGAATATTAAGGGTAATATATTGTACAACAAAAAGGAGGGGGAGACACATTGTCCATATTTATAGTCAATGGTCCAGACTATTTAGGATTAAATTGCATGTATTAAAGGGACTAAGGATGTACTAAAAACTCACTGGTTTGCTTTGACCCTGGATAACACCTTTGGTCTGTAATTCTTTTATTGTTTTAGTAAATTAATGCAATGCAGTTTGACAACATATGTGTTGTAAATTGATTCGTAATCTTGAATTGAAATACTAAAGAGTCAAATCTTAAAATGTGTTTTGTGTATCTGTTTTATGTGAATGTAGATATCTGGTGAACCTGGGCTGCATTAAGCCCCTGTGTGATCTGCTGACAGTGATGGACTCTAAGATCGTTCAGGTTGCTCTAAACGGCCTTGAGAATATCCTGAGGCTTGGGGAGCAAGAAGCCAAGCAGGAAAACAACGGCAGCGGAGTGAACCCTTACTGCAGCCTTATTGAAGAAGCATATGGTAAACAAGGTCCACTTGCGCACTTACATTCCGAAACCCATTGTGTAGGATTTATATTGAGGTGGAAATACAAAAGATGACTGTAAACTAACTATTTGTATTTATCTAAAATACTTTTTAGACCATCATGTATATTGAAATCCAAAATAATTAAAAAAGACAGGTATTAATTCTCATGTGGGATTTGATCAGAGATAACATATTATCCATGATCTAATTTACTTGTTTTTTTTCCAGGTCTTGACAAGATAGAGTTTCTCCAGAGCCATGACAACCAAGAGATATACCAGAAGGCATTTGATCTAATAGAGCACTACTTCGGAGTTGAGGACGAGGATAGCAGTCTAGCTCCTCAGGTTGACCAAGCCAACCAGCAGTTCCTTTTCCCCCAGCAGGAGGCTCCGATGGAGGGCTTTCAGCTATAAGTCAGCACTCCTCTCCTCTAAAACACCTTTACCCCCTTCATACCTCCCCATGTTATGGAGGGCCCTAAGACATAAATTCATACCCCCTTTTCTTGATCCGTTTTTCTCCTCCCCCTCTTCATCCTCCTCTACCATTTCTTTGATTTCGATGCTACTTTGGAAGCACGCCACATACATTTCATAACACTTTGAAATAGGGAGTGAACACCTCACAACCCGAACTGTGAGTCTGCCCTGTCTTAAAACGCACACATTGACATCTTCCCGCTATTGTACTAGCTTTTATAGACTCTCATTGGCAGTAGTTTATTGATTAAAATATTTTTATTAACAAACATTTTCCTAAATTGGTCATGCTGATTATCAGGGTTACTCCTACATCCCCGTGCTAAATCCACAGTGTCATGTGCACATACAACCAGTTTTTGATGTTGGTTTAACTTAGTGCAATTCAGAGCAAAAAAACAAACTAAGCATTATCCCTCTTTGTTTTACATTTATTTTCTTTCCCCAATTTAATTCATCAGTTCTTTTTTTTTTTTAATGCTCTTTGTTTTACTTTTTTTTTTTATTAGCTTTGGGTTGATGGACAAATCTATTCTATTCCCTTATAGAGAGACAAATGTTAGGCAACGGCATACTACTGGCAACAGTCTGATGCTCAAGGAGGTATGATCTCCTCATCACCCCCCCCCCCCCTTTTTTTTTTTTTTAAATCTTTTAAATAGGACTTGTTTTGTGGGCAGGCAGGAGATGGGTATACATTTAGGAATTGGGATATTGGATAATTGATTTAGTTTAAGAGGATACATTTTAAGATGAGAACAATATAGGTTTGAGATTGGAATAGAGTTAGAGTTCAGATATTCGTCGTGTGCTGTGTTTTAACAACAATATATTTGAATTATGAAGTGATCTAACGATGAAAATATGGCATAGCTCTAAAATTAAGGGCAAATGATAAACCAAACTTAATTTTACATTGGCATGCATTCAAAGGATTGCACATCATGCTCTATAAACACGTACCAGGAATTTTAATGAGACGGACATTTAAAGTGAAGATTTTCTGATATGACTGAAAAACAAGTTGCAGGTTAGCCAGGCACTGTGCCTCCCTCCGCCTCCCAGATGTACATGGTGGGTTTTGCATGGCTAAGTATTACCTTGCCTATAGTCACTGAGTATCCCTGGCCAAACAAACAGTTGTTATAGAGAGCTAGAGAACAGTGTGGAAAAAAAAGCTGCAAGACATTGTTGCACCTTGCTCAGTGTTTATTTTACAGAATTTTGATTTAAAAAGCAGGAAGTGCGCCACAAGTGGTTGGTTTGGTTCTGTTAACAGCGATGGTGATGTGGTGGTGGTGATAGTGTTTTGTATGGTGGTAGAATGTATTACTATACACTTGAGGAAGGATAATTAAACTGTTAATGATTTTGCCTGGGTCTTTTCTGACATGTATTGGCTTGTTATAAATAGCAGTAACTAATGCCTGGTTAGAGGAGTTTATCCCTTTGTGGCTCTTAGAACAATCCAACCAGAGTTTGGCTAGGGATACAACACAAACAAGTGACGACTGTGAGTAAAAATATATTTTTGAGTTAAAATGTCATATGCACGCAGGCATACAACGCCAGCAGACACAGTACATATATCTCACACAGATGAGTGGCTATGGCAAATAAGAGTTTCCACAGCATTTTCAATGAGTTATTCTTTATTGTATTCTTTTTTATTAAGTTTTTCTCCACAGTTCGTGGCCATATTTTTTTGTTAAAAAGCACTTTGTATATTTTCTTTATTTATAAAAAAAAAAAAAAAAAAAATGTTTCCCTTGGTTCAGTTTAATTAAGATCCTGTTCTGTGTTCATAAATACTAAGAGGATCATTTTAAATAGTCGAAAAGCAGATGCATGGAGTGCTGCATGGGTATTGAAAATTATTTTGGTAATTCGTCCTTCTGGTGCTCTTCAGTGCGGGGAGCCAACTAAGAAGCTTTTGAAAAAGTCTGAGGCACTGAGAGGGTTAAGTATAAAAAGCCTTTTTAATTGATCTGGGCCCAAGGTTCATAAAAACACGCCAACACGTTTCAGTCATATATGCCTTCATCAGGGCGGATACAAAATGGCCGCCCAAGCTACTTCCTTTAAAGGTTTACAGCCAGGAGCTGTCACATGGCTTCGCAAAAAGGGTTACACATTTAAAGAAAGTTAAACATCAAAATGTATACATGACACCAAGGCAGATGAGATCAGATTGCTACATTTTTAAAGCGACTAAATATACAAGCAAATTACTGTGATAATTACTGAAAAACATTTTGTCTCTGCCCTGATGAAGGCCCATATGGCTGAAACATGTTGGCATGTTTTTATGAACCTTTAGCCCAGATGAATTAAAGGTTTTTTTATACTTAACCCTCTGAGTGCCTCAGACTTTTCAAAAGATCATAATTTGAGCATACAAATACTGTTTGGGGAAACTTTTTTTTTTTGTTGTTTCTAGCCACGTGGCATATGATGGTTTGAATTAGCTCTGTTGACCCTGGCCTCAGAGCAGCTTTTCCTGTGAGCAAGCTGATCCTGGATAAGGGTTTACGCTTTGTGGATGCAGAAAGCTTTGTCCTGTCGTGTTTGTCTGAAAGGCACAGTGTGAGCAAAAGGTTGATTGACTCTCTGACTATGTCCTGACCAGAGTCTAGGAGCCCTGTTCTGTGGATTGCTGAACCAGCCAAACATTAAATAATGGAACTGGTATACTCGGATAAACACTTTCAGTAGCATTTTTTTAAAAATTGAAAACAATTGCATTTTGCATCAATATAAACACTTAAGTATCGCAAGGTGCTACTATAACACAAGTTCGAGATGTTGTCCACTGAACACATGTGCTCCTATAAGACATGAGTTAAATTACCAAGCTCTAAGAACAGATCTTAACCTCCAAATGACAGATGTGTAGAGCAGCATTTATTACTGAACTTGACCATTTTAAGGCCATTTCTGTGCTAGGCCTTCAACAAAAAAAAAAGCCAGAATTGAAATGTAAAATAAAAAAATCAGTGCATCAACAAGGACAAATTATTTTTTTATTTCTGAAATGAAAATGCACTGCTTTTCACAAAAGTGCCAATTTAACCACAAAGACTGGAGGATCCTATGTATCTGTGTTATCCTTACACTTTATTTTTGCTTGTCTTTTTTACTTGAATGTGCACACACTTTGTGCAGAACATTGCTGCTTCAGTTTCCACATCTTTAAAGTAATGATTTTTCTCTGCCATAATTTAATAAAAAAAAAAAAAAGTGGCATTCTCGACTGTGGATCCCTACATGGGGAATCGAATAACGTCAGTTTAGTTGGTGTTATGGTCCCCATTAAGGTACTCTTCTGGGTTTTTTTTTTACTGTGCCCGTACAGTATAGTTAAATATTGAGCATTGAGCCTAAGGTCATAAACCAAAGTAAGTTTCTGTGCCAATACAATAATTACAATTAATATACAAAAATGTGATAGTACTTAAATGTGACACATGAAGCAAACAGAGAATATGCAAGTGACTATCAGAGTAGATAATTGCAGGCAAAATCTTTGTTTTCCTTTTTTACAAAAGTTTTACATCCTGAAGACTGGTTGAAATTATTAACTGGATGTTTTTTTTTTCTTAGAATGAGATTAATTAAGCCATTCCAAACCTGCGCCTTTTCATTAAATGCTGCTAAAGCTCAGACCCTCTTTTATCACTTAGAGTGGTTTTTTTCAGTAATGTTTGGAGGACTGAAATATCTCTATAGTAATCTAGAAGACTGCAATAAATATTTCTAAAATCCGGCACCCTGGAGATCCCCCTCCAATCTTCTACTACAGCCACAGGTGACACTCCTACCAGTGAGTGGAGTTAACAGTCAACCTACTACACATTTTTCTAATATAAAATCTGGCATTCAGAAATGATGCAGTGATTTACATTAAAAGTATTATAAGTTAACCTATATGTATGTTCTGATACAATGACAGGGATTCAGATGCAAACCTAATCACTTCTGAGAAGTGGAGAAAAAGCCTCAGAACATGTTAGAGAAAGAACAAGGAAAATTAAATCAGAGACAAGGATACAAGCCTCCTCTGCTTTTCATGATCTTTTTTTCTGATCAGGATATTCTTGGCTATATTTTTGGATAATTATGTTTAGAGTAAAAGTTTGTCCTAGTCAGGATGCATGATTGGGAACCATTGCTATCTATAGGAGAATTAAAAGACATCACTCAATATCTCAAATCTGACGTCTTCCGTCCTAGGAGCTTTTCATGTTTATCAAAATCTGAAGCCATGTTTGGCTTGATCAAAAAATGTTGTCTACTCTGCAAATGTTTACAATGTTACATTTATGTAAAATACTTCATGTAATATGCCATCACTGGCCAGTGTCAACTCTGGTCCTCTCATTTCTGTTTATTTATTTTCACTACTCTTTCTTTTACTCAAAATACCCATCGTAAACTGTGACTTGACTTGACTTTACCGACGGTATGAATGAGTGACAACAAACTAATACACTTTCAACTGAACATGATACACATACATGGACATTGAAAAATACAGGACAAAGCAAATATTGAAACTTAAAAAACAACATATTGAATAGTTCAGTGAAAATATTGTACCAAACAAATAAAGCTATGTTGCAACTCTTCAATGTATGTGTCTTCTTATATTGTGTGTGTGTGTGTGTGTGTGTGTGTGTGTAACTATATGATTAATTTCAAAATTATAAATGCAACATCTGTTTTTCTGAATCTGAAAAGATAATTTTCTTGGAATGAAGAGAAAGCTGATCATCACTTGAGTTCCCATGTAGCCAGTCTGAATGCATTTTAGATGCAACATCTTCTGTTCATGCTGATCCTGGAGAAACATTCAGCAGATCAGAACAGGATTTACGACTAAACAACTGCATAGTCCTAATGTGCCTGCACCAAGTTGACAAACTCATTTACAATTTAGACCATTCAATTTAGACCACGAAGTTAAAGAATGTAAAAATAAAAAGTGCATTTAAATAACCTAATATTATATCGTATAATAATGTAATATAATACAATACCATATACATTATATATCAATGGTAAAATATGTAGAATAGCATGAAGGGTGTAATCAGAATCATGGTGGTTCCTCTGCTGTTGTATTTTCTGATGGCAGTGGGCACAAAGGAGCGCCTGAAGAGTTCAGTTTAGCGCCTGGGTGGAATGAGCTGCCCACCTACCACAGCTCATCATGTAGAGCGTAAGAGAGTAATCCAAGATGGCTATGATTTTGTCCTTCATGCTCCTCTCAGCCACTGTCTCCAAAGTGTCTAGTTATGGGGTGTTTTAGCATCTTATAAAACATAGTGTATTTCGGTATGAAAACTACTTTAACCATGTCTTCAGTTTTATAAATTGACACAAAATTACATTTGTGGCACAACAATTGCTTGTAAATAGATTCACATTTGATCTAATGAATTTAAATTGTGGATGGAAATCTGGCTGTCATAGACTTTCACTTGCAAGAGAGCACAGATTAGATCATTTCCTCATACTAAACTTATAGATGGATAGCATTCATTATGTGAAGGTCCTATTATAGAAAAAGAGCTACAGTATATGATGCAATACTTTCTTTTCCCAATGGTAAGTATCCTGGACTATAGATCGGAGACCTGTAGAGTAGAAGTTAAGGAGACTTTATTAGCCTGTTTTACTTTTTCTTTGGAAAATGGTCAACAATCTACCTCTCCAAGAGAAAGGTTCATTTCTCTATTGCGAAAGATAAGGCAGACGGCCAGACAAAAGGTCCTGTGAAATGGAATAACTGGAGACCCCTAACACTTGTGCTGTGATGCTCATTTCTGAGTTAAATGTATTGGTCTTAGATTAAAGCACGTCATTCAACAATTAATATATTTTGATCACACTGGTTTTCTGGAAGGTCGATTTATAGGAGATAATATCCGGCGTCTTGTTGAAATAATTGATTTTGATAAGAATCATCTGCCTGGCTTGGTTTATTGCTGACTTTGAGAAAGCCTTTGATACAATAAAGTGGGAGTTTTTATGTCAGTGTTTACAATATGATAATGTTGGTGATTGTTTTATTAAATGGGTACATTTTGTAACAGTCAGAATATGGTAGTAGTACCAAATAAAGCTACAAGGTGGTGCTTCTGTTATGTTGAAGTGTGTGTGTGTGAGACATGACAGCAAGGGCCCCTTTCTCCAACAAACAGTTACACAGGGCTGCAGTGACGCTAAATGTGAAACAGTGATTATTCACACTTTGTGTCACGGTTGATCACATTCTGTTGTCGTAAAAAGCTGCAGAGAAGGTTTGTTTTAATGTATTATATCAAAATCCATTCAGCAGAATTATAAACAACGGGCACATTTCTGACCCAATTAAACGTTTCTAGAGGTGTCAGGCAAGGCTGTCCTCTTTCGGCTTATTCGTTCAATCTTGTAATAGAAGTGTTGGCCATAAAAATAAGAAATAATGTAATGTAATGTAAAACATAAAAAGTTTAATGATGAATGGATTAGAGTCAAAGGCCTCTTTTTACGCAGATGATGATTCCCTCCATCTGAAAGCAGATGCTCTCTCATTTGAGACCTTTATTTTTTAGTTAAATTGTTTGGACAAACTTGGACCACTGAAGAATAAAAACTTTCAGATACTGTGCCAGGCTCCTATTTAAAGGTCCAATGGCCCAGTCTTTTAGGAAGACATATCCCCCCTCTGTTAGTAAAATCTAATCATGAATTGAAACTTAAAAAAGTTGATAGAATCCTTCAGGCATGGAGGGGCAAACATTTAACTCTTCATGGTAAAGTTGCAAATGTCAATTCCTTATCTCACAGTTTACATATTGTCTTTACCCTCTCCTGATGCTGCCTTCTTTAAAACTTGTGAGAGAAACAAATTCCCTTTATTTGGAACATTAAACCAGAAAAAAAAATAAACTTAGCTATATATATTATATACTAGAGAATGGTGGTTTGGGTTTAAAATGCCTTTCAGCCCTGGCAAAAAAAAAAAAAAGTGTGAAAGCTTCATGGGTACTTTACATAGCAGCCTCTGTCATCAGTGTGTGAATGTGTAGGTGTGACCTGTGGTGTAAAAAGTGCTTCGAGTAGTCTGAAGACTAGAAAAGTACTCTACAAACTCAAATCCATTTACCATTTACAAAGGATGTTTTATCATCCCAACTGGATTTTATCCAAGCTTTTCCTCTCTCTAAGTGATTCATGTGTAGGAAAATGTTATCCCACAGGACACTTTTAAGAACACATTGGAGAAATACATTTCTTGGTAAGGAATGTATTCTCATATTTTTTGCAATATTTCCTGACTACAACACTACAGCAGTCAGAAATCAATTGAAGAGAAGGACTTAAACGAGTAGTGTGCAGATGACAGGAAGTTATTATTTTAGATGAGTTGCGTGGTATAAGGATATAGATGGAGTTTGGATTTTTGAGGGAGAAGTGACAAAATGAGGAAATTCTACAATGCTGTGTTTAATTCTCTGAAAGATACAGGTTTACATTGTAAAAATCTGTGTTATTGTTATTATAATTCAGAATAATAACACTTATTATTATTCATAATTTAAATTTAAAAAATGTCACGGGGGTGCGGTAGGTATTATTTTGACCTGTATGCTGTAACCTGGTGGCAGCACCGTTACACATTGGTGTGTGATCCACCATTAAACTACAGAAGAAGAAGAAAAGGAACAAGAAGAAGAAGAAGAAGACCGGAAGGCACACTTTCTAGTTCACGCCATTGCGGAAACAAATTAGCTGTTTACTGCTCGAGTCTAAAGGTAAACAATTCCCTTATATCCGAGAAGGAAAATAAATTGAAACAAGTATATGTGTTTTCAGTCTACGTTTTTAGCTTTTTGTGTCCTGTTTAACTGGCTAACTTGTTGTCGTCCTGGCACTTTGGTTACACCTAAGGGCTATCAAACGTTAGCATGTGCTAGCTTACTGAAAACCTAAGTAGAGGAGTGAAGGGAAAGCTTATGTGTTGCTTTAATAGTCATTTAAATGTGTAAGCACTCATGCGGTCTTACACTAATCTGGTGTTGTGTTAACGTAGACACAACGTTATTAAGAATTTGAAATGAGAAGGTTTTCTGACTCCATATTAATGGTTACATAAAAGTCTAATAGATACATTTATGTCGGTGCATGCACGCAGCTATTTCTTTGAGATGCGAGGCTTAAACCCGACGTTTACCAGACGTTCAAACACGTCGTTAAGCAACAGGAGCAGTAGCAACAAGATTCAAAAAGCGGCATGTGGCATGTCTCCTTGAGAACATCTGCATGTCTCCTTGAGAACATCTGCATGTCTCCTTGAGAACATCTGCATGTCTCTTTGAGAACATCTGCATGTCTCTTTGAGAACATCTGCATGTCTCTTTGAGAACATCTGCATGTCTCTTTGAGAACATCTGCATGTCTCCTTGAGAACATCTGCATGCCTCTTTGAGAACACCTGCATGCCTCTTTGAGAACATCTGCATGCCTCTTTGAGAACACCTGCATGTCTCTTTGAGAACATCTGCATGTCTCCTTGAGAACATCTGCATGCCTCTTTGAGAACATCTGCATGTCTCTTTGAGAACATCTGCATGTCTCTTTGAGAACATCTGAATGTCTCTTTGAGAACATCTGCATGTCTCTTTGAGAACATCTGCATGCCTCTTTGAGAACATCTGCATGCCTCTTTTAGAACATCTGCATGCCTCTTTGAGAACATCTGCATGTCTCCTTGAGAACAACTGCATGTCTCTTTGAGAACATCTGCATGTCTCCTTGAGAACATCTGCATGCCTCTTTGAGAACATCTGCATGCCTCTTTGAGAACACCTGCATGCCTCTTTGAGAACATCTGCATGCCTCTTTGAGAACATCTGCATGTCTCTTTGAGAACACCTGCATGTCTCTTTGAGAACATCTGCATGCCTCTTTGAGAACATCTGCATGTCTCCTTGAGAACATCTGCATGTCTCTTTGAGAACATCTGCATGTCTCTTTGAGAACATCTGCATGTCTCCTTGAGAACATCTGCATGCCTCTTTGAGAACACCTGCATGCCTCTTTGAGAACATCTGCATGTCTCTTTGAGAACATCTGCATGTCTCTTTGGGAGCACTTGCATGTCTCTTTGAGAACACCTGCATGTCTCTTTGAGAACACCTGCATGTCTCTTTGAGAACATCTGCATGTCTCTTTGAGAACACCTGCATGTCTCTTTGAGAACACCTGCATGTCTCTTTGAGAACATCTGCATGTCTCTTTGGGAGCACTTGCATGTCTCTTTGAGAACACCGGCAGCGACATGTACCCTTGGATTACCGACATGCCACCATACATTTCTAATTTGGTGTAAATGTTGGACTGAATATTGATTACAATTTATTTGGTTCCACGTTATTCATGTCATGAGGACCATCACATCCAAGTTAAGATCATAAACCATGGCAGTATAACAGGCTAGAGAAGCCTTGATGAACATAGATTAAGTTAACTTTTCAGGTATAAACAGTGTTTATTATTTAGGTCTGCTTGATGTTAAGCATTGTTTCTGATTCAGAGGTTTCTTTGTAAGTATCTCTATCAGAATTTTACTGTTGCATAAGAT